GCAAAACAGGATGAAAAGAACGTTCTGGTGTGGAAGGCTGTATTCCATAGGGCGAGGACATGTCTGAATAGGTGATAGGCGACCTCTCAGCTTGCATTAAAAGATCCTAAAATCTCAAATCATGGATTGCCATCCAATGTATTGATGCTGCTCTGTTGTCTTACTTGCCACCTGCCTGCCCATTGCACTGTTCTCCCTACAAACCAGGACTCCTGAGCGTGGTCTGGCACAGACTTCCCCCGCCTGTTCCTCTCAAGGTCTTTGCTGTCAGGAACTCCTGCCCTAAGTGAATGTAGAAGCTCTAGTTACCAAAAGTTTGGTTGTATGAACTCTTGAGATTTGACACCATAACGAAATGTAATATTTCAGGGAAGCTTTTTAAGTTTGAGAGACTAAAAAATTTCAATATTTAGAACATAAAGAAAAGCACTTCTGATTTTGAGTTTGCCCTGTGATCTGGCAGGCCTGCTTGCAAACCTCAGCTATTCCTCTTAGCATCAGTCACCACATAGCACAATTTAAAAAAGAAGACTTGGTTTCTCGGTCAGCATTTGCTAAGGGCATAGCTGAATGGGACATGGTATTGGGTAAGAAGCCTTTTCTCTGATATAGCGGGTTGTGTGGTGTCCTCCCAAAAGATATGTCTACCTGGAACCTCAGAATGTGACCATATTTGGAATAAGCAGCACAGCTAATGTGAGAACTTGACATTTGTCCTTCTCTCACGCCTATCTTGACTGCTGCATATTCAGGCTCTGATGAGAGACATTGGGGACTAACATCAGAATTTACCCTGGCCCTTGATTAAAGTTTACTAGTATTGTAAATGGCCTAGAGGCCCTTCACCAAAAGTGGATTGGATCACTCTCAACAGCTTCTTGGCAAGGAGGCTTCAACAGGAAGGTATGAATCATTTGTGAGGTCAGGTATTGCCAAGCATGTTCCCAGGAGGTCTGAGAATTTAATTCATTGGAAAATTTTTTATAGTTGAGAATGTGCTCCTAAGCTCTAGAAGTACAGAAACCTAATGTATTATCAGGAATGGTGGAGAGCGGAATGTTTCTCATGGGTGAAGTCACATGAACCAAACTCAAAGAATGATGAGAAACCAAAACGACTGCCAGTTTATTGTTATTAAAAGGGCCGGGGGCGGGGTGGGGGTGGGGGACCAAATACTGGCAGCCTTTGGCCATCAGCAAAGGCAGGCTACGTGAAAAGTAAAATTCTGTAACAGGAATTTGCTTAGTGACCGCAGAAATTGGAATGAGGGGTGTTAGCTTTATAACTCAGATGTTTAATGATGTCACCTAAGATGATGTAAAGTGTGCATCTTCATAGTGGAAATATCTGCCATCCTGCCCAGGCAGGGAGAGTTCTTGGCTTAGATTAGGGCTCTCTCTCTCCCTTAGCCCAGGCTGAGGGGTCACTGCCAGTATTTGCCTCTGACTTCCTTCCTTCCTTCCTTCCTTCCTTCCTTCCTTCCTTCCTTCCTTCCTTCCTCCCTCCCTCCCTCCCTCCCTCCCTCCCTCCCTCCCTCCCTCCCTCCTTCCTCCTCCCTCCCTCCCTCCCTCCCTTCCTTCCTTCCTTCCTTCCTTCCCTCCCTCCCTTCCTTTCTCTCTCTCTCTCTCTCTCTCTCTCTCTCTCTCTTTCTCTCTCTCTCAAAAATCAACTTAAAAATGCAGATTCCTGGATTTCATTCTGGGAGATGGTCTGAATGGGTGTTTCTGGGGATAGGGTCTGGGAATATAACTTTAAACCAACAAAAATCTAATGTACAAAAAATTTGAGAATTATTGTTTTTGGGATGACCTTGCCTATGTCTTATGCATTATGAGTTGATTTTAGAGTGAGTCATCTTATTTCCAAGTGTTTATAGAATCTTTGGTACTGGTGACACTTTTGCTATCTTTATTAAAAAGTCCTGTTGAGTATGTTAAAAAAAAATAGATTCTCAAATGGGGATAATACTATGTAACAAATACAGTCATGACTATGGTATGCAGAGAAGACAAAGTCAGGTGTATAGCCTTCCCTTGAATTCTGTCATAATAAAGCTACTTATTGTGTGGGACCAACCTCAGTTAATATAGTTTATTAACTATTTCTTGTAATAAAGGCACAGGCTCTTAAACAAATGATGAGCATTTTAAACAGTACTACACACAAGACAGTTATTTATTTTGTTTTCCTACTGCTCAGTGTTGGTGATGTTAAACTAATTAAACAAAGAGGCCATAGACTGAGGTGGCTTTAACGCCATGGTGGCCTCTGTAAGCAAATCCAAACCTAAGCCTGTAAATACCTCACGGTTACAGATTGAAAGGTTTCCTGATAGCCAATCCTTGCATTGCTTCTGCCTTTTCTCTATAAAAGTCTTTCCCTGGTCCTGTCCAAGGAGCACTGCTAACCACTTTTGGTTTGGCGCTGCCCGATTCCAATTGATGTATGCTCAAATGAACGCTACAATTTTAATATACCTCAGCTTGTCTTTTATTTATTTATTTTATTATGATTATTTCTAGAGTGACAGAGAGAGAAACACTGACTTGCTGTCCCATCCATTTATGCATTCATTGGTTGATTCTTGTATGTTCGCTGACCAGGGATCAAACCTACAACGCACAATCCGCAACCTTCGCATATGGGGATGACACTCTAACCAGCTGAGCTACCCAGACATGGCCTCATTTTATCTTTGAACAGTGACCATTTGAGGCATTCATGTGGAAAGTGTTATGCAAGGATCTCTGACAAAACTATTAATCATTGGTGATAGGAAATTTATCCCAACAGAAATCTTGGTTGTAGAAGGAGGGACTATGCAACAGGAGCTGAACTCAGAAAGTATTATTCGGATTTTGATGAAGGTGAATGAATTCTAATATTTGCCTAGAAAGGACAGACAACCTCCGCCCCCTCCCCGCCCCGTGCCCTCCCCCACTTTTCAGGACAATGTTTCTCTGGTTCTCCCTGACTTTTCACATTCATCCAGATCTGGGTGACTACTGGGAGGACCATAACTCCCATTATCACTTCTCTACGCAATTATACGCTGGTCCAGGCACTCAACAGGTTACGCTTAAAAGACTGCTGTTTCAGCTGCAGCCATGTGAGGGAACAATTACAGTACCAGCAGCCAGATTAATCACAGGTGTGTGAGCCCAGTACCCTAGACAGCCTGTTTGAGTAGGAGAACTTTAAATTAACAACAGATTGAAACCAAGCGTGGCCCTGGCTAGGTAGCTCAGTTGGATGGAGTGTTGTCCCAACATTCCAAGGTTGCAGGTTCAATCCCCAGCAGGGTACATACAAGAATCAGCCAATGAAGGCATAAATAAGTGGAATAACAAAATGATGTCTCTCTCTTGTCAGTTAAAAAAACAAAACAGAAACCAAGTTGCATCACTTATGATGATTCCAGCAAACTTCTGCCTGTTACAAGGAAAAGGAAACCCCAGAACATTCCTAAGGCTTTACTTTTGACTGCTTAAGACAATATGTGATTTGAGAAGGGAGGGAGAAACATGAGAATTAAATTTCTGGACAAATAATGTGGTATATTGAAAGCTGACTGCATCTTAGAAATAAAAGAACCAACAAAAATTAATATTGATTTTGTGAACATCACAATAAATGGAGTACTGTTTTTATATTGTATTTTGTACTGAATTAGCAGATTCCATTCCCTTTAGAGTAAATTTTCTTTAAAAAAACCTTTATTGTTGAGAGATATATATTTATTGCCATTTTATTGTTCACATTTTTCTTCCTCTCCTCCTCCTCCTCCTCCTCCTCCTCCTCCTTCTCCTCTTCCTCCTCCTCTTCCTCCTCCTCCTCTTCCTCCTCCTCTTTCTTCTTCCTCTTCTTAAAGAATGCCCTTCAACATTTCTTGTAATACTGGTTTGGTGGTGATGAACTCCTTTAGCTTTTTCTTGTCTGTGAAGCTCTTTATCTGACCTTCAATTCTGAATGATAGCTTTGCTGGGTAGAATAATCTTGGTTGTAGGTCCTTGCTATTCATCACTTGAATATTTCTTTCTTTTTTTTGAGTTAAGCAGAAATTTTATTTCCAAGCTCTTCAAAAATTATTACAAATACAAATAAAGTTTCCATTTTAAAGTGTCTCAAATTAAATCAAAGGCACATCATCAAAGTAAAACACTTATGACATTAAGAATCCATTTAGCTTGTAAGATTTTCACATTGCTTTGCTTTTAATCATTTGCAATGTTCTGTAAGTCACATTTTAAACATATTTGAAAGCTATGAAATAATGTAGGATTTTTTTTTTAAAGCACAACCACAACTATAAAGTAGAGGAACTTAAGAAGACAAAGAACAGATCTGTGGCATACACAAAATGGGGAGATCTAATGCACAACACACTAATCTTTCCAAACAAGTTTGCTAAGAAACAGCTTCCCTATTTAGTGTTAAAAATAAAACAGTCTTCTCACTTATAAAAATCAAGATATCACTTGATTAATAAAGTCTGTTCTTGCCCCAAATTTTACACTGTCTTGCCTTCATTTAGAAATTATAAATTCATGAGAAAAGAACACATTTTGTTATGGTGTAAAAATCTCTAGAACAACAAATTACAAATATTCAAATTTTTAATAAAAATGTTTTTCTTCCCAAAATGTAAACACCCAGTAAATAAAACATACATAACATTTCAGGTCTAGAAACACTAATAATTCACTTATGAAAGAGGTTCGTTTTGTATATTTGGTGGTAAGGTTTTTGTTTGTCTTAAGTATAAAGCACTTCACCAAACAACCAGGCCATTATTATTTAAAGGTCTACTCCTTCACCCAGTTTCCTAATTTGATTTGAAACTCATCAATTTCTATAGAATTTTGGCTATAGGACCAGGCCACAGGGAAGGTCTGAATATGTAAGTCATTTGGTTAGAGAAAAATGTTTCCATGAGATTTGGAGGCAGTCATTCATCACTTTGTGCCTGAAAGCTTCCTTAGTTAACTTCTTTCCAGTCTTTAGAACAAAGCACAGGATCTGGGCTCCTGGAAAGGGCTGCTGCCTTCTGGAACACTGACCATCAGGGCATCCTTGCAGGCATTCTGCATGCAGTACTGCTGAAGCTTGGCAGCCGCCTGAGAGACCTTGATCCTCTCCACGCTGGCCTCCAGCTTGAGCTGCTCCACCAAGCACTGCAGGGCATACATGCTGGCCCTGGAGGACATGGCCGGGGGTGGCTGAGTGGCTTTCTTACTACTCCCTTCTGGCCTGCAAAGTTTCTGTTGAGAAATGAGCTGACAGTAGTATGGGCACTCCCTTGTAGGTAACTAACTGCTTTTCTCTTTCTGCTTTTAAGATTCTCTCTTTTTCTTTAACCCTTGGCATTTTAATTATGATGCCTCTTTGGGTTCCTTTTGTTTGGGACTCTGTGCTTCCTGGACTTGTAAGTCTATTTCTCCACCAGGTAGGGGAAGTTTTCTGTCATTATTTCTTCAAATAGGTTTTCAAAATCTTAGTCTCCCCTCTTCTCCTTTTGGAACCCACATAATGCTAATGTTGGTATGCTTGAAGTTGTCCCAGAGGCTCCTTATACTGTCTTCATATTTTTGGATTCTTTTTTTCTTTTTGATCTTCTGATTGTGTGATTTTTGTTTCCTCATATTCCAAATCATTGATGTGATTCTACTCTACTGTTGAATCCCTATAAATTATTCTTTATTTCAGTGAGTGTATGCTTAATTTCTGCCTGGTCCTTTTTCATGTCTTTGACGTTCTCACTAATTTCCTTGACATTCTCACAAAGATCCTTGAAATTCTCACTAAGCCCCTTGAAGCTGTCCGTAAGATCCTTGAGCAATTTTATAACTGTTGTTTTGAACTCTGTATCCAGTAGTTTTCTTGCTTCTGTTTCTTTCATTTGTGATGTATTTCTTTGTCTCTGCATTTTGGCTGCTTCCCTGTGTTTGTTTCTATGTATTAGGTAGAGATGCTATATCTCCTGGAATTGGTAGAGTGACCTTTTGTAATAGTTGTCCTGCAGGGCCCAGTGGCTCAGCTTCCCTAGTCACATGAGCTGGGAGCTCTCTGTGCACCCCTGTGTGGACTGTGCACATAGTCTTGTTGTAGTTGAGCCTTAATTGCTATTGGTGTCACTGGGAGGACTTAACCTCCAGGCCAAATGGCTGTGAGGACCAGCTGCTACTACAGTGGAAGAGCTGCTGTGCAGGAGACACCACTATGGTGCAGGACTTGCTTCAGTTGGGCTTTGGTGCTCACTGAGTCTGTCCCTTGAATGTGTCACTTGTGAATGTGTAGAGTTATAACCTGGTATGGTCTGAAGCTTTCTACTGGGTCCACTGGCTATGGGGCCTCCTTGCAGGTACAAAGTAAGCCACTGCCTGAGGTCACCCAGCAGGAGCTACAGGATGATCTGCAGATGGCTGCTACTTGTATTGGGCTTGGAAGTTCCCAGGGGAGGCCAAGCTGTGAAACAAGGCAGGCTGGTGCTAGTGCCTGGTCTTAGGCCTCTTATTTTTTTATTTTTTGTTAATACTCACTGAGGATATTTTCCAATTGATTTTCAGGGAGAGTGGAAGAGGGAGGGAGGGAAAGACAGAGAGAAACATCGATATGAGAGACACACACCGATTGGTTGCCTCCTGCACGTGGCCTGACCAGGGCCGGGGCCAGGAAGGAGTCTGCAACTAAGGTATGTGCCCTTGACCAGAATTGAACCAGGGACCTTCTGGTCCACAGGCTGATGCTCTATCCACTGAGCCAAACTGGCTAGGGCTTAGGTATCTTATTGATAGGTATGGGGCATGCCAACATCAGCTACTGCTGGTTTGAAAGATTTTAGAAAGCTTGAGCCAGGACAGGCCATTTGTATGGAAAAGCCACTACAAACAGCTTGGGTGGGGCTGCAAATTGGATGGGGTGGGGCAAACCCCATAACCAGGGTGGAGCAAACAGTAAGTGCCAGGCTGATAGAAACCAACCTCTGCAATCAGGGAGGTCCCAGCACAGGAACAATGATCCATTCAAGCAACCCTATCTGGTAGAAAGCTGCCCCTGAATTCCTGCCCCAATGCCAGACAACCCAGTTCCTGCCGGTATGTCCCTGGTTCTTCCAAAGCTGCCACCCAGCACTGGAGCCCAGAGGGAGCCAGTCTGTGTAAGTTTGTGCACCAGCCCTTTAAGAGGAACTGCCTGGGTCTCCACCAGCCTCTGTGTTACTCAGCTACAGTCCCTGCTGGTTTTTACAGCCCAAAGTTATGGGGAGTTCTATTCCCAGCTTTGGGACCCTGGGCTGGGGGTCTGGTGTGGGGCTGGGACCCCTGGATTCTCACAGTGGAGATATCCCACCTGATTTAAAAAAACACCACATGTCGGTGTCAGATCTGTGTCACTGCCCTTGCTACCAGTCTCGATGTACTTTCTTCTTTACTTCTCTAGTTGTAAGACTTTCATTTAGCCAGATTTCAGGCAGTTCTGAATGATTGTTGTTCTGTATTTTAGTTGTAATTTTGATGTGGTAGTTGGAGATGGTGAGTACTGGCATTTACCTACACCATCATCTTGGTTCTACTTGTTAAGAGTGAATTTTCAAATGCCGATTCTAAGTTAACCTATATGTTAGGTAAACTAGTTCACATTTTTAAAACCTATGGCCATGTTATGGATGTACAGCCCTTTCTGTGTGTATGTGAGGAAGACAATGACATTTTTTCTGTAACAATCCCTTGCCTGATGCCAGATTTCCCATTGTTAATCCTTTATCCTGATTCCTCTCCTAGAGAATCTTGCTTAACTTCAAATCTCTGGGCAAAAATGTCGGCTGACAAAACATGAGGTTTAGATTTTTAAAGTGACACAGGAATTTTTGATCCTGTCTTATAGTGAGCTCCAAGATTTTTATCACTTTGATTCATCACTGTGAGCATAAACTCATGATAGATTGAATTCCCTCCAACATATATATATATATATGAAATGTTGCTATAGTTATTTTTTATATTCTGCATATAGCTTATGTACTGTAAGCTTATTCATGTCAATTCAATTTCTTTCTATTCCTTGAGGGCAGTGGTACTTTCCTGATTTTTTATTGTTTAAGATAATAATACATTTATTTTTAAAGACTGCTTTGGAGATTAACATTTGTAGAGCTGCATAGCCACATTATTCTCTCTCTTTTACTGTAGTTCTGTATGTTTGCTTCCATTTTCTAGGACCATATTCCAACCTAAATCTTTGGCGCTATAGTTTTTCTTTTTCTGTTCCCAAAAAGAAAAACTCTTTGCTAATAATTATGGAAATACAAGTCAAAACCACAAAGAGATACCACTTGACGCACATTACAGTGAATATTTTTTAAAAACCCACAGAAAATAAATGTTGAGGATGTGGAGAAATTTAGAACCCTTGTGTATTGCTGCAGGGAATGTAAAATAGTGCAACTGCTGTGGAAAACAGTAGGGCAATTCCTCAAAAAGTTAAACATAGAATTACCATATAACCCAGCAATTCTACTTCTGGGTATACACCCAAAAGATTTGAAAGTGGGAACTTGAATAGATATTTGTACACCAATGTTCATTGAGTAGCATTATTCACAATAGTCAAAAGTCAGAAGCAACCCAATTGTCCATTGATGGATGAGTGGGTAAATGAACTATGGTGTATATATAGTGGAGTATTATCCTATATAATGAAGAGGTAATGTGCAAATTGACCATCACTCCAACACACAAGATGGCCACCCCCATGTGGACACAAGATGGCCTGCAGGGGAGGGCAGTTGGGGGGGACCCAGGTCTGCAGGGGAGGACAGTTGGGGGTGACCAGGCCTGCAGGGGAGGACAGTTAGGGGTGACCAGGCCAGCAGGGGAGGGCAGTTAGGGGCAATCAGGCCAGCAGGGGAGTGGTTAGGGGGTGACCAGGCTGGCAGACAGGCGAGTGGTTGGGAGCCAGCAGTCCTGGAATGTGAGAGAGATGTCCGGCTGCCCGTTTAGGCCCGATCCCACTAGGATCGGGCCTAAACGGGCAGTCGGACATCCCTTGAGGGGTCCCAGATTAGAGATGGTGCAGGCTGGGCTGAGGGACACCCCCCCTCATGCACAAATTTCGTGCACTGGGCCTCTAGTCTATAATAATAGAAGCCTAATATGCAAATTGACTGAACAACCAAACAGCAGAATGACCTTCAGGACGACCTTCTGGACAACCACGCTATGACACCCACTGGTGCCAGGCCAGCCATGGCAGGTGCAATGCGATTGGTCAGGGGCCCAGCCATTGCCCCATGATTACCCTGCAGAGGGAGGCTCAGGTCACCAGCCAATGGGGTGATTGATCAATCGGGGGGGCTCCACAATCTAGCCAAAGAGGGAGGCCCAGGCCACCGACCAGTGGGCTATGGCAGGTGGCTGGTGCCTCCCTCTGCAGGGTGGGATCGATTGTGGAATCCTGGCTGGGTAGGCAGGGTCTACCTCTTTGGGGCAATCGATTGTGGGGCTCCCGGACTGTGAGAGGGCACAGGCCGGGCTGAGGTCCCCCCACCCAGTGCACAAATATTGTGCACCGGGCCTCTAGTTCCTTATTAAAGAGAAAGAAAATTCCAACACATGCCACAAAATGGGTAAACCTTGAGGACATTATGCTAAATAAAATAAGCCAATCACAAAAGGACAAACAATGTGTAATTTCATTTATATAAGCTTCCTAGAGTAGTCAAATTCATGGGGACAGAAAGTGGGATGTGGAATGGTGGTTGTCAGGGACTGGGGGAGGGGAATGAGGAGTTAGTATTTACTGGGTACAGGACTTCAGTTAGGGGGATGAAAAAATACTGGAAAAAGATGGTGGTTATGGTTACACAACAATGGGAATGTACTTAATGCCAAAGAGCTGTATGCTTAAAAATGGTTAAAATGGTAAGTTTTATGTTATGAAAAAGAAAGGTTCTTACACTGTGATTTTTACAAAACTCGGCCATTCCAGTGACTCTCCTGAACTAGTGGCCTGCAGACATCACTGAGGCCTCTCAGTAACACTGAACCCGGTGCCTCCCCTCTTCGTTAGGAACGCAGGAACGGAATTGGCTTGCACCTAGATCTTGGACTCCCACCCCCCGACCGGCGAGGAAATAGCTTCCTGTTGTTGAAGCCACCTACTCTTTGGCATTTTCTTACGGCAGCCTGAGAGAAGACGTTCGGGACATGCT